CTAAGGACAGCCTCAARGTCCGTGTGGTAACTGAGACAGCTGCCTACCTGGACAACTASAACCACAAGATCACAATATTCTGTTGTTATGGTCAAGTTAAGGCATCCCACCTTTGGGCCATATGCATCAGATTGGGCACCCAACCAGTTTGCAGGCTCTTAGACTGGAGCTCTGCTTGACATGGCGGTGCAGAGCCTTCTAGGTGAGTGCACACTAGATCTGGGGGGGGAAAAAAAATAAAATAAGGGCAAGCAGGAATGATCTACCTTTTTACAACATGCAGAAAGCTGGGGGCTTTGGCCTCAGCTCATTGCCTAAATGTACTTCATGGATGTTAAACAGACAATGTCTAGCAGCTGGATTCTCACTAATGAATAAAACTTGTTTAGATTCTCAGACAAACTCATTCCAGTGATAAGCTTAACTTTAATGTTCTTACACACCTTCTTGATTAGGCTAGATACTGACCTGCTGGCAGATTACAAGATACTTTCAGCTATGCAGAACATGCTGACAGCAGCCAGAATTCAATCATAAGCCTGCAGAAACAAATGAAATCAGCACATTGCAAAGAACTTCCCCAGAAAAGGTTTTCTAGGCTCTCTGCCTCAGTGATTTTTTCCTAGGCAGTTTCCCCATGATACCTCATTTTACGTATTTAAACCATTTGCCAGAGCTGGCAGCCTTCTCACATAAAAGCGAGGAAGGAACATGCTGTGCAAAGTTGGACTGCAGGTTACTTGCTCCGTGGGATGTTCCCGATCTGACAGAATGCTCGTCCAGGAACCTGTGTCAAAAACACAGCAGCTCATTCGGAGCAGGAGGGAATGGCATCTGGAGAGCATAATCTCAAATTACTCCCACTCCTCAGGGCAGAAGGGAGCAGCCCAAGTTTAAAGAAGTAGACATGAAGACAGACATGTCTTGATCAGGGTGTGCACTAGGATTTTCTGTAAAAAAAAAAAAACAAGGTACCAGTGTTTCTGCTGGTTTGGTTGGACTCTCTAAGCTGGCTTACCCTACAGGAACTTTTGGCTCCAAGAAACTGTCCTGTCAACTTGTACCACAGAGGTTCTCTTCTCCCTGCTGTTTGCTGTTAACTGTTGCCCCTCTCAGTCCTGGCTTCATCCTTCACTCCACTCTTTTGATCCAATCCCAGCTGCAAACCCAGTGAGTTGCATACCCAGACAAGAAAGCATTGCTGCTGCAATTTTGTGGATGCTTTTAAAACCAGACTCATTAAATTGGTGCAGAAGACCATGTGGATAATTTTAGAGGCTTTTTTGGCAGCAAAGCCCTTGCTTCGCTTTAGCTTAGAACTCGTTCACACATGGGAATTTAACAGAATTATTTTTCCAAGAGCACATACAGCCTCTTTGGCCAGATGAGGGTTAAGTTAAACCAAAAGAGGATGTTCTTTAGTCAATACARGAGCCTTCCTCATTGTTTTAAAGCCACCTCTTAAATTATAACCCTCAAAACTGTATGGAGGCTTCAGGTAAATTACAGATTAACTAAGGAGAACACAAACAGGGGACCAGGGTTTCAGATACATCCAGTGAGCAGTTTGTTGTTTCAGTCTTGTCAGGTAAAAGCTGCTCAATCTCATCATCATAGGTTAAACAGTTGATGAGAAACCAATTCCTTTATTTTAAGGCACGAGTGCAATTCAAAGGGTTTCTCCACAAAGAAAGTTATGTGCTTTGAATTGTTTAATTTTGTACTAGTTAAAAATGCATTAGGTCCTTGTCGCAATGCTTTCAAAGAACTCAAAGTTAATGTGGTATGAAATGACAGCGCAAGGCAATCCTGTGCAATATCCCCCAGTGTGCAACACCAAAGACACACTGCTTTTCCTAACTGGGACACAAGCTGGCTCTCCAGCAGCCCCCTTCTTCAGGGTAACTCATTTGTGTGTCACSCTAGCAGGAGGTCTTGGAACAGAAATAGCCAATTCCCTAACTCGGGCAAAATCCTGACATCCTCACTCCRTACCAAAGCCAAGCTGGATCTCAGACACAGTCTTCACAGCGACGGTTAATGAGCAAAATTAAAGTTAGGCTTGCAATGAAAGACGTACCCAGTTCAAGCTGAACTTCTTTGTTCCTGCGGGGTTGGTTTCAGCAAACCTCTGCCGTCAACTTGTTCTTCCAAGTTGTCATTCTGAGGTAGCCAAAAACATRCCCACTTGGGCATTAAATCAAGGTAACTAAGCCCTGTCCTCTTCACAGAAGCCACTGTTCATTCTAAGYCACTGCAGAAACCAAAGGGAACATTTCAGAAAGACAAGATTCTTCCTCAGACCAACTCTTACACACCCAAATACCCCCAAGGTTTAAGTTTTCTCCCATCCTCAAGTCTTATGTCAGGAAAGCAAACAAGCACAGACACAAAGCTTAACCCATGCCTGTCTTCCAGCATTGCTAAGGTGGTTAATTGTAGGCACACTTGATCTATTTGTCTTGGTTTTCATTTTTTGCTTTGTTTTTATTTTCATCTTGGTCTTGGGACACTCACATATGTGCCAAGTCTCAACCATGGTGCTATTTTGCCACGCTTGGCTTTCTCAGAAAGTGAGCTGCAGGCAAGGCTGCAAGGAGCTGTGCCCAGCCCTCACTTCTCATTTAATGCTTCCCCATCAGCGCAGGTGAAAGCTGTCCAAGGCAGAGACCCTGAGCAACCCACTCACAGTTTACCTATTTAAGGCTGAAAGCAGAGTGCTATATTTATCACCACTGAGATTTCTATGGCAACAGACTACACTGTCCAATGTTGGATTACTTCAACTTGTCTTGGGGATGAAGCGGAGCTAAAAGAGGCGGCTCTGGTATGGGGTTAGAGTCTTACACCAAGCCCAAACCTCTGCATTGGAGAGAAAGCTGCTGTTCACAGTTGCCCAGAGGGATACTGAAAAATCCAAAGTTTTACAATTTTCAATGGTATCTAGAATCCTGGAAAGTAATGACTAAAAATAGGCATTAACAGAAAAAAGGCAATAACATATAACATAAAATATGAAAAACAATTCTATATATCTATGCATATGAAAAAGCCATGCACGCTGGGACAGATATCTAGTGCCAGCTGAATAGCAACTTGCTGCAGAAAAAAACTTCCCTATTTATTTATTTATTAAAGGGAAGTTAACTTTTATTTGACCAGCACATTGGCAGGTCTGCTTTAAGGTTCATTGATACCTGTGCCAATATATGAGTTTTAATTCCAGCTTGCTATGTACAGCATGCAGCCTGAACCCTGTGAATGGACCTTTCAACTAAAGAACAGTTTGCAGGGACAATCGATACACCAGAAGACTGCATTAATGACCATCTTAAGGTGGAGTAGATAACATCTATTTTTCTCAGCGTCTTTCAGCAGCACAAGAGATTTTCTGCACCATCAAATCATATTCTCCTATACCCCAACATTGTTTTGCTCCTGAAACAGAATTAGATCTTGTCTCGGTGGGAAAACTCAGCCTAAACATCAGACTGATGCAGATGGATTATTTTTTCTTATCTTAATAAAACTTGCTTTCAACAACAAATAAAGGAAGCAAAAGCTAAAGAACAATTGATACTCTGGGAAAAGATTATATTTAGAAGAATGAAATGAGTACTTGATCTAGAGAAAATAAATGGATTTTTTTTTTTTTGCACTGTCTAGAAGGAAAAGAAAACCAAAGAAATACAGGCATCACCACCCAGTTACTGCTAGGTAACTTCCACTGACATCTGAACTCCTACTTCTACAATGAATTCAGGAGGGCCTCTGCATGTGCACTGTAAGACAGAAATACTCATTGCTCACAAAATTCACAGGCAAAATATCACTGAATAAAGTCACAAGAGAGCTGAGAATTTATCACTCATACTGTCAGATTCACTTTCAATAGGACAATGAACTCCATTTTAGTACTTTGGTATAAAACAAATACACTGAGACGATCCAAAAAGCCATTTGCAAGTTTTACTGATTAGCATTTTACTACATCAAGAGATATAATGCAGCATACAAATGGAAAACGTGCTTCTTCAGAATTATTCAAATTCTCCTGGTGCATTATTCTTTTAAAAGCTTAGTGAAGAAGTCCCAAGACTTTTTTAGCAACTCACTCATCATAATCTATGCCTCATCCCAAATTTCTCTATTAYTACTATTATTTTTGAGCAGGAAGAGAGATAAAAATGACTCTCTAAAGATACTTAAAGGCAGAAGGGAGCAAGAACTATTTACACTAGTACGTAGGAGTGGTGTCAATCAGGMTTGGACCTTGGGGTGCAAATGCTTCCCATACCTCCCAGAAATGTACATAATGTGTAAATACAGAAATGTATTGACATTTGTGTCAATTGGTGACCCCAACTCTTCATCAAAGCACAGGCGCAACCTTCCCCCTTTCCATGCATTACCCAAGGCAGTGGAGGAGAAAAACAGCCTCGCAGAAATTTGTGCAATGTTTTATATGTACTACATTTCAAAAGCATTGCAAATTCTCTGCAGCCAGACAAGGGAAAGTGAGCTGCAGGGTTTGGCCATTTCTTAAAGCTTTGTTTTAAGAATATATCACTCACACTTGCTTGGAAATTTCAGCCTAAAGGACCTGAATTCTAACATTTCAGCATAAAATTCATGGAAAGTGGATTATCTCCTACAGCAAGTCTTTAACATAGATTAAAAACACAGGGTTAGACAAGAATTTCAGATAGGTCAAGAAGTAGACCTCATGAGTCCATAAAGAAAAAATACACAGAGGATTACACAGAGCTGTGAGGCTCAGGACAGTCTAGTAAGAGAGGAAATGCACGTTACAGGACATCTTCGATGGATTCAGCTCCTATGTACGGACAACAGGCTGGATGCTCCTGCCTACTCCATCCACACCACCCACCTTGGGATGCTCCTTCAGAAACAAGCTTTATTTTAGAGGAAGATATGCACGGCTAACTTCTGCAAGGCTGTTCTGCACACCCTCCTTTCTCAGGACTTTCTTCACTTACCATAAGGACCCAGCAGTGGGGATGCCACCTGCAGCTCCRGCTCCCTAATGCACCAGCTGTGGAAGCAGGGAAGGTTTTTTTCTATACGCCCTCTGCAAGCAGCAACCGCCTGGGGTATCAGAGAAGACGACTCTTTGCTCTAGCCTGGTACAGCCTTCCTTTCGTTTGCTCCTCACTCCCAGCAGCTYTCCAGGCTGGTCTCAACACCAGCAAGCTCGCTGAGACCCCGATGTTCGCGTTCAACATCCTGGACAGAAGTTTGCCTCCAGTCTCCAGGATGGTTGTGTGTATATGCAATCTTTCCTTTGGCCCTCCCAGCAGGGTAGCACAGCCCAGGGAACAGCATTATCTAAGAGCACAACTAAGAATAGCTCCCAACCGGCAAGGAACAAGAACTTCAGAGAATAGCCTGGGCCGCTGCCAGAAAGCACGTTTCCTCTGTACCGCTGCGTGCACCGGCAGCCACTTGCAAGGCAAACACGGAGCAAAGACACTGCTCCAACAAGGGTTGCGCTGGCTTTGCTCTAMTCTCACCCCAGGGCCTACGTGTGCAAGGACAGTCCCGTGGACCGGGCACTGATGGAGCCTTCTCCCGCCTTCCGCTTAGGCCGGGTGGTAAATATCTTTGTAGATTACTTTTCTTCTCCAGCCAAGTACAAAGCCCAGCTTTTCATCCGCCAGGCTTTTCATGTGCTGCAGCGCAGCATCCGTGCTCCCGGGCCGCACGCACACGCGCCCGAGCGCAGCCCTCCTGGCTCCAGGCCCCCGGGAGCTCCACGGTTATCTCCCTTCCCTTGCAGCTGAATCAAAGCCGTGTTGAAAGAGCTCAAACGGCGCTGTTTGTTTTTCTGGGGCTTACAAGCCCCCCGTGAGGACAGCAGTCCCATCGGGACGCAACTTGGACAAACTAACGCTACTTAAAAGAGCAGACCTGGGAAACAGTCCAGGAGAGGGAAAGATAGGAGGGGAGTGGGCAGAGAGGTAAAGGGACATTCAACCGAGCCAGAATCACTACCTGGRTCTGGCATGGTACCTGCAAGACTCTCTCCAAGTGTGCTGCTGTTTGGCAGCTTTAAAAACATCCTGGACACCCTGGTCCTACAAGAGGATCTAGCAGGAAGAAACTTTGCATCCAGTAAGATGTCCCCCAGGCCAGACCCAYCTGGGGATGAAGTGTGGTTCCTTGCAAGCAGCTCTCCCAGGGATTTCAGGAGAAATACCTCCCCATTCCCTATCCCCGCCAGCCTCCACCATCTCCACTTGTGGTTTAAATACCACAACACTTGGCTTCCTAGTTTTCCAGCTGTAGTTCAGAGCTGCTCCCAACTCACTGGGCAAACGGCCTCAGCCTTCCTCACTCACCTTCGCAGCAGGAATGAGGAGGCAGCACAGAAGGAGGAGAGAACAGTTCCCCCCTGATGCAGAATCTACTTCTGGATGGCAGAAGGAGAGTCTGGACCCACAAGCTCCCAGGAGAGAGCTGTAYCAGCAACAAAACCCATTAGAAAGCAAGAGGTTCACCCGCAGCTGAGTGYCAGGCGAAGCCTCCCACCAGGACAGGGATGACGGGCTGGAAGAAGGATCCTCTGCCTTCTACCCCCACAGGGAACTGGCAGGAGCCCGCCTGTAATTACACACCACAACACTCGTGTTTGCACACAAATAACCGGGTAAGGGAGGCCAGCGGAGCGGTGATCAGCCAGCTTCAGCTCCACCGGTACTTCTTCTGAACAGTTAAAGTCTCTCCTAGAGCAGACAGATGAAAAGAAATGACCAGGAGGATGAAAAAGCCCAATCCTCTCCCCAAAGAACACGCCAGGGAGATGCAAGTGGCATTTCTACTGCTTTCTAGGCTCCCAAACAGCTTTCATACATTGCATTACCTTTTCCCCTGATTTAACAATTGATGTGGCCAAAAGCAGCCTTAATTCAGGAATCACCTGCCCTTTCCAAACACAAAACCAGGGTAAACAGGGCGAGCAGGCCTGAGGGAAAAGGGAAGTTWAAAAAGCACATTAGGACTGATAAAATTATCATAATCTCATAGATTATTGAAAGTTTTAGAGRTCACAGAGAAATCCCTTTAATTTGCTTTACATTTTTCCAAAACTTTTGAAATATTTTTGTGAAATATTATTGAGAAATATTTTTGTGAAATTTTTGTGAAATATTATTACTCTCCTCCCACCACTTTTGGTGGTATTTTTCGTGATTCAGCTCTCTCGTCTCATCAATTTACGGAATTCCATCAGTTTATCTCAGAAAGGAAGCAAAGCGTGTAGGCCCACTCCAAAGTAATGCTGTTCGATTTTTCCTGTTTTAACTACTTTTGAATTGTTGTAGGTATTTGTAACATTTGTCTTAAGCAGGATTTTGATATGTAGAAGGCACAGAAAGTCAAACTGCAAGGAAGCTTGCCATATATTCCCCTGAATATCTAAAGAACAGGAGCAGGGTGAGGGTAAAGAGTCATKTGAAGATCTTCAAGACCCAYCTGGATGCCACCCTGTGCCACGTGCTCTAGGGCTCTCCAGAGATYCCTTCCAACCTCAACCATTCTGAAAATACTTGCCGTTCTCCCTCCAAGTGCATGGACCATCTGACACAGCACCAGAGCTTTCCATTTGCAATCCACTAAAAATTAGGCCAAACTCCAAATACCTCTCTGTTGCCTTCATCTTGCCTGCCCATCTACAGGGCAATCTGGACATAGGTTTGTGGCAGGGCTTTGTTTTTTGGTTTTTTTTTCTTCTCCTCCTTTGAGGCTTCTCACCACGGTCAGGTAGCAAGAAAAACAGTAATACGGATGCAAAGCAGGTCTCCCCAGGGACACTTGTAACATAAGACGATTCAGCCTGGTCACCAGTCCGTTCACACTGAAAGCAGAGGTCACAGGCGGAGATAAAAGAGGGGCTGGAAAGGTCGTTCCCACCGGGTGGAAAACGCACAGATTGAGTTAAACTCCTGCCCTCCCAAATCCCTGGTGGACAGCGCTGCATTCCTTCGCTCAAAAGGCATGTCGGGCTAGTGCTTTTTGCTTGCTGTTTCCATGCCTGGTCGTGTCCCAAATCCTAGGCTCGATGCATGTTTTAAAAGCTCCTATTAATAGCTAGAGCAGAAGCTGAAGAGGAGACAGCTGCTCCAACCCCGGTCRCACCTCTGAGGGGTTGCAGAGCTGTCCTGCTGCACTGGGCAGGGAAAAACTGGGGTGCAGAAGTTCTCTCTCCTCACCCCTTTGGAGGGCAAAGCATTAAAAGCATCAGGCACAAGAGCAAAACAAGGCTCTGTCCAGTTGAAGCGGGGACTAATGCCCTAACCGTCAAACCCCTYGGACTTCAAGGGATTTTACCACAGGCTTGCCAAATGCACAACGAGATAATTTCAGGTGTTAGTGAGAGGATGCTCTCACAAAAACCAGCTGGCACCACAGYGTAGGCAAAGCCAAACACATGAACCCCGTGCAGCGAACGTGTCCTGCACAGTCCCAGCGATGGGGCTTGCAGCGATTGCACTTCATTCTTACTCAGAATTCTTACTCAGCCCTAATTTGCACCAGAAGAGATTTGTCTTTGGATGCTGCCGGTGGGCTGGCTTGCCTGCTGTCCTGCGTCAGGTATTTCACCCCAAGAGATGCAAGACCTCAACCTCCTCYAAGCGACTTGGTGCACGTTTCCTGGAAAACATTTCCTCTTTCCTGCAGGTACAGAACAGGATGCTCCGCGAATAAAAACACAGCAACACCAAAAACCCTGGTACCCAGCCCATCAGCAGTGAGTCAGAGACCAGAGCAGGTCCCTGAGGGAGAGGAGACTTGGACGCGTCCGTCCCTTGTCTGCAGGACGGGGCTACGACCTCGTTTCATGGGATTTAATGAAGCCTTGCAAGAGCCCAGATGGACCGCCTCACTAATTGAGTTAATTAAAATGTTTTCTGCCGTGATTAACTTTGAGGAACTGTGCTCGGCATTACGCTGTTCGGAAAGGCTCCTTGCGAGCTCTCCGGGGAGGGCAGGCCACACCTCAGGAACAGCATGAAATAGGAGAACAATTACTTGGAAACTCGCTGCTTCCACCAAGCTGCTTCTCAGCACTGTTCTCCGATTCCAAGCAGCTTAAAAAAAAGTAGCCCCTTTTTTTTTTTTTTTTTTTAAGTATATATTTCACCAACAGGTCAAAAAGGCTGCAGAGAAGGGAAAGATGTTGCACTGAACGGCCGCTTGTGAACCTGCAGGCTTCACAGGGTTGGTCTGCCAATCTTTTTCTCCAGGCTGAGAAAGATCTACAAGACATGCAGGAAGCCTGTAGCGGATGTGGGAAGAGACCCATCACCCATGTCCYAACCCTAGAGCATCCCTCCTTCACCCCAGCTTCGCACAGACGTGATAAGCTCCGGGAAACGGCCGCAACTYGAAGATGATAAGCTGGCCAAGGCCAGCACCAGCAGCACACGAGCAGGCTGTCCTCCGAAGGGATGTTTTGCTGACGAGGTAATCACCCACTCCCAGCGACAGTAAATCTTTGTGTGTCGGCAGCAACTGCCTAGAGATAACCAAGCAACGTTTACAACGGTCAAAAGAAAGGCTTGCTGTGTGGCTGCTGTGTTTTTCTCCTAGACRAGGTGAGCAGCTGCCCCAGAGAGCTGAAGAGAAGTCACATCCCAGAAAGTTTGTATTGAAAAAAACCTACCATCGCTCCAGGGCAGTGGGGATAGATGAGGTCCATTGCAGGAAGCTACCACAAAGCAGCAGAGCAAGTGAAACRCTATTACAAACAAGCAGCAGCTGCAGTGAGGAGCACCGAGCAGCTCAGTAACACGCTTCATTCAGTTCAGCATCATCCCCACGAGACCACTGCATCAACTCAGCTAAACTAGTTACTTAAAACTCAGCTCATGCCAACAAGTACAAAAGGAGAACTGGGTTTGCTGAAATCAAATTAAGTATGAGCAACTTAAATCTGACTGTGCAAACAGAGGCAGAACTTCACTTTCCTTTAGTCACCTGGGCCATGGCATCAAGCACCAGAGCACCCTATGCACAGTGGGACCTGCTGGGGTTGGGTAGCAGGGACTTTAGTTAACCCAAACCACCAGCCTGGGGAAGAAATGAACCCAAGGAAGCTGCCAAGACCCATGTTATCCATTCAACACAGAACTGGGTCTGCCATTGCATCCTGTTATGTAACACAGCAGAGGTATCCTGGGCACCCCGTTCCTCTAGTCTGACTTCCAACTCTCCCTTTTCCCAGATCCCCAGCATGTAACTGGTGTAGACCTCAGCTAAGAGAAAAWTTTT